GGTCCGTGTCCTCCCCGGCCGAGTCCTGGGTCCGAGCCCTGGCCTCGACTCCGCCCCCTCAGCGCGCATCCCCTCCACGCCCTGAATGGGGTGACAGTGGCCGAAGACCCCGGCTTGAGAGGAGGGGCTGGGCCAGCGAAGGACTCCTGCCACCCGAGTGCCCCGCAGGGCTCTGCCAAGGATACTTGGAAACCAGCCTCCATCCCCAGCCTTCCTTAGCATCCTCCTCACCCGCCCGGTGCAGCCCCCCTCTTCCCAACAGCCCCTATCTTGTGCTTGAGCCCCACCCCCACCCCACTCCATCCTCAGCCTGACCCTTTTCTTGTCGATCTCCCTCATTTCCACCCATCTCAGTCCCTCTCCCATCCATCTGAACCTTTGCCTCACCTCTCCAGCCATCCTCTCCTCACTGCACTCAGCAAACCAGCCCTCCACCTCCCTTCCATCCTTGGGTCTTCTCCATCTTCTTGTGCTCTTCTCCCCTCCTCCACCATCTCCCTCTCCCACCATACTGCTCCCGCTCATTTATCCATTCATTCCCTCACTCAACAAACATTCACTGAGACCTCCTCTGTGCAGGCCCCATGCTCCAGGCACAGAGAGAGTCAGAGCCCATCCTGCCTTGGGGAGCTCCATGGGCTGGCAGGGGACAGACCCTGAGGGTGAGATCCAGGGATGAACTCGGGGTTGCAGGGACATGGAGGAGGGAGAAGCTAGAGCCCAGTCTGGTGAATCCTTGCATACCGGTGGTACATCTGGCAGCAGGTTAATTTATTCATCAGATTGTGCCCTGTGTGACTGGGCTGGCTCTGGGTGTTGGGGACCCAGAGAGGAATCTGGTATATTCCTCCCAGTGACGAGCACCAACTCTGTGCCCAGCTCTGTGCTGGGCATGCTTGGGGGTCTTGGCGTGGGGCCCTGCTTCTGGGGAGGTGAAAATCCAGTGGAAGAGATGGGCTTATCACCAGAGAGTGGTAGCTCAGAGAGCTCGAGGCTGAGCCAAAGAGATGTCAGGGAAAACCTAAAGGGTCAGGGAGGGCTCCCTGGAGAAGCACACATATGAGTTGTGACCTGAGGGAAGAAGAGGAGAGACCAGTGATAGAGTGGGGACAAGGTTTCCAGGTCTAGGGAATGAAAAGATGGCACTTTTGCTGGACTTTTTGAAGTTCAAGATCTCTGATAGAGCAGCAGGGGAGTAGAACTGGAGAGGTAAACAGAAACCAGCACAGGGGAATGAATATCAGACCAGAAAATCCCAGCTTCATTTTTAATACAACAGAGAGCCATTGAAGGGCCAGGATCTATTGAGGGACCAGATTTGTGTTTTGTGAATTGATCCTGGAACTAGTTGTGAAGAAGCTGGTGGAAGGGAAGAGGTCAGAAGCAGAAGACTGACAAGATGTGAACCAGGCATGTTCAGACAATGGCAGGACATGACTGTAACCTGCGGGGGCTACTGAGGGTCTTGTACAGCAAGAGATGAAACCAGCATCCTCTCTCTCCTGTTGCCTGCCTTCGCCTTGGCCCCTGCTCTCCAGCCCTCCACCCCAGACCACACACAAAGAAGCAGGGCTGTCCTCAGTCCAGCCCTCACCTCCCACTAACCTCCCTTCTTACTCCATCCTCAGGACAGTGTATGGAGCAACCCAGCATCTAGGGCCAGGCTCGCAGATAACAATGCTCCTGTTGTCTCTGCTCCCATCTCTGGGGGCCTCTGATTCTTCTCTCTCCTCTACAGGCCCGCAGCACTGACAGCCTGGATGGCCCGGGAGAGGGCTCAGTGCAGCCTGTTCCCCCTGGGGGGCCAAGTGTGAAAGGGAAGCCTGGGAAGAGGTGAGGGGTGAGGGAGGGAAAGACCTATGCTAAGAGCAAGGGAGGCTGGAGGAAGGAGCTTCTGGTGACCTGCTCCCTGTTTCCCAGACTCTCGGCTCCTCGAGGTCCCTTCCCCCGGCTGGCTGACTGTGCCCATTTCCACTACGAGAACGTTGACTTTGGCCACATTCAGGTATGGGAGCTTTGCACCCAGGTGGGAAGGTGAGATTCTACCCAACCCTGAACCAATGTCAGCTACTTTTCTCTTGAAACCTGTGATTGGTTGCTTCACTGATCTGAGCAGTCAGTAGCAGGAGTTGCAGGGTCTGGGACAGATGGGGAGATCTCATTCATCCATTTGTTTTTTGATATGATATCTCAGAAACACAAATGGCAGTGTTTATTTCCTTGGGTCATTGTCGTATATATGAATATCAGTTTTGGGTTTTTTTTTTGTTTTTTTTTGGTACCAGGGATCAAACTTGGGCCCTTGTGCTTGTGAGGCAGGCGGCGCACCCACTGAGCCAAATCCCTGGCCCTATCCTTTTGTTTTTTGATTTATTTATTCAACAACAATCTTTTCTCAGGTGTCTGCTCTGTGCCAGGGCTCTACACTGTAAGATATCACCAAATCCTGTCATTGGGGAGGTTCAGGATCAGGGCACAGATTCATCTCTAGATAGTGCCAGTCTATAGAGATCAACACTGGTAGAAAAATCAGGCCCTCACCTGGGCCTTTGTTTCCTTCTACAGCTCCTGCTGTCTCCAGAGCGTGAAGGCCCAAGCCTCTCTGGAGAGAATGAGCTGGTATTTGGGGTGCAGGTGACCTGTCAGGTGAGACTACCCTGCCTCTCATCTGGCCTGGGGGACTGGCTGCCATATTCTTCAGCACAGTGTAATAAGACCACTATCCCCTTCTGTCTGTCTGCTCCCACAGGGCCGTTCTTGGCCAGTTCTCCGTAGTTATGATGATTTCCGTTCCCTGGATGCCCACCTGCACCGGTGCATATTTGACCGGAGGTTTTCCTGCCTTCCAGAGCTCCCTCCGCCCCCAGAGGGTTCCAGGGCTGCCCAGGTAGCTTACTTGTCTCAGCCCCTCCTCAGCTGTCAGTGTGTCCTCATCGGCCAAGTGTGAAACCATCAAGGCGAAGGAGATAAATATTTAGACTGTGGTCAAATTCCAACCATTCAGAATGGAGAAGCCTTAGAAATATACCAGGGTTCTAGAGGCTCCCTTTAATTTTGGGATGATGAGGGGAGGCCCAGTCGGGAGGGTCAGCATAGCCATGTCATTTGCACATATTGATATGACAGTATTTTAGCACTTAAGAGCTGAGCAGTACACATACATCCAGATTAAATTTCAGGCCAGTCCAGAGATGACAGTGGACAGTGTGGGAGGACAGTGGGCCCTGCCCTCTCAGCATCTCCTCACAGGAGCCCACTCTTAACAACCTGCCCCTAGATGCTGGTACCATTGCTGCTGCAGTACCTGGAGACCCTGTCTGGACTAGTGGACAGTAACCTCAACTGTGGGCCTGTGCTCACCTGGATGGAGGTGGGCCTGGGCAGGGGGGCTTGGAATTGGGAGCAGGCAGGGGTGTCTGAGGTTCAAGAACCACCTGGGAATGTGCGTGTGGGCACAAAAAAGAAAGGAGCAGGAGTGGTGGAGGCATTGGTATTTTAGTGTCTGTGTGGGCGCACGCCTGTGAAAGAAAGTATATGTGTGCATGCGTGTGTGTGTGTGTGTGTGTGTGTGTGTATTTTAGCAGGTGTTGGGCTGTGAGGATTTAAAGGTATACCAGCTAGAAATAGATTGGGCATAACTCACAGATCACCTGGCTAAGAGTGGTTTAAACCAGAGGAATTTTAGATCATCATTGTGCAGTGTCTGCTATGGAAGATGAAGGTGCCAGCATATGTGGTGAGATCTTGAGGGCAGGGGAATGCTGGTTGGCAGATGTAGGGTTTTGTTTTTTGTTTGTTTGTTTTTGGTACCAGGGATCGAACTCAGGTCCTTGTGCTTGCAAGGCAAGAGGTGGAACCACTGAGTTACATCCCTGGCCCTAGGGGGTTTGTTTTATAATAGGAGTTCAAGTGTTTGACCAATAGCTTTGAGTGACTGAAGCTCTTAGGTGGGGAACAAGCCTTGGCCTCACTTGGCATGGAGGAACCTTGTTTGCTTTTATTAAACACCTTCTTCTGACCTCTCCTTGCTATATTTTACCTCCCTCTCAGCTGGACAATCATGGCCGGCGACTGCTCCTCAGTGAGGAGGCCTCGCTCAATATCCCTGCAGTGGCTGCTGCTCACGTGGTCAAACGGTACACAGCCCAAGCACCAGATGAGCTCTCCTTTGAGGTGAGGATGTAGGGAAGTAGACTACAGCTGGGCTTCCTACTTGTTCTGTCCCTTCTGAGACTCCCCGTCCCATTCCTAGGTGGGAGACATTGTCTCAGTGATCGACATGCCACCCACAGAGGATCGGAGCTGGTGGAGAGGCAAGCGGGGCTTCCAGGTGAGCCTGGCTTAGTGTGGACATGTGGGGATAGGGCACCATGCCAACTAGGGTGGCCCAGACATTGACCTTGACCCTTCCTCAGGTTGGTTTCTTCCCCAGTGAGTGTGTGGAACTCTTCACAGAGAGGCCAGGTCCTGGCCTAAAGGCAGGTAAGTACCATGGACAGAGCAGGAGGCCTCCAGCATGCTCTGCCTACCACTTATCCCTTACACCTGTTTTCAACCCACAGATGCTGATGGTCCCTTGTGTGGCATCCCAGCTCCCCAGGGTAACTCTTCTCTGACCTCAGGTAATGGAAACAAGGGATCGGGTCTCTGCCTCCTTCCCCAGCTTATGGCTGTGCTGACCCTAGGTGGCTTGCTTTTGCCCCCACAGCTGTGCCCCGGCCACGTGGGAAGCTGGCTGGTCTCCTCCGCACCTTCATGCGCTCCCGCCCTTCTCAGCAGCGGCTTCGGCAGCGAGGAATCCTGCGGCAGAGGGTATTTGGCTGTGACCTTGGAGAGCACCTCAGCAACTCAGGCCAGGATGGTGGGGCCACAGCCTACCTGCCCACCCCACCACACCCCTCCTATCTAGGCTATGATCTGCTCAGCCCTGACCCTGCTGCTTTCTCCCAGTGCCCCAGGTGCTGCGCTGCTGCTCTGAGTTTATTGAGGCCCATGGGGTGGTGGATGGAATCTACCGGCTCTCAGGCGTATCCTCCAACATCCAGAGGCTACGGTGAGGTCCTCTACCAATGCTTTCCTCCCGCAAGAGTTTGCTGAGCACCTCTCCATTCCAGCCCGTGTTGTGTGCTGGGTTCATAATTATCAGGAGTTAGGAGAGCATGGAGCAGGATTGGACAAAGGTTGGGGTTAGGAAGAGCTTCTTTTTTTTTTTTTTTTTTTTTTTTTT